CAACTATATATGAATTATCTTCAGCAAAATTTTACTTGCATATGATAGTAATGATATTATTGAATAATTTCCACATCCTGTTGGATCATTTTTCTTTGGAATAGGCACAAAATGTATCTCTCCCATTCATTTGGCTGGTAGCTGTCTTCCAAATTTCATGGTGTAGATGAGTGAGCACTCCCAGCGTTGCATCTGTTTGTTGAAACATCTCAATTAGTATTACATCTATTCCTGAAGTCTTGTTTTTTTGCCAATCCCGTTAGTGCAGCCTGGACTTCTTCCTTCAGTACCACAGGTTCTTGATCATATACAACCTTCCTGAAATATGGTTGAATGTTGAACATTTCTCTTTGGTCCAGTGACTGTCTGTATTCCTTCCATCTTCTTCTGATGCTTCCTGCATTATTCAATATTTTGCCAGTAGAATTCCTCAGTATTGCAACTTGAGGCTTGAATTTTTTCTTCAGTTCTTTCAGCTTGAGAATGCCATGTGTGTTCTTCCCTTTTGGTTTTCTAACTCGAAGTCTTTGCATGTTTCATTATAATACTTTACTTTGTCTTCTCTAGCTGCCCTTTGAAATCTTCTGTTCAGCTCTTTTATTTCATCATTTCTTCCATTTGCTTTGGCTACTCTATTTTCAAGAACAAGTTTCAGAGTCTCTTCTGACATCCATTTTAGTCTTTTCTTTCTGTCTTGTTTTTTTAATGTTCTTTTGCTTTCTTCATGTATGATGTCCTTAATGTCATCCCACCACTTGTCTGATCTTCAGTCATTAGTGTTCAGTGCATCAAATATATCTTTGAGATGGTCTCTAAATTTAGATGGGACATACTCAAGTTTGTACTTTGGCTCTTGTGGACTTGTTTTAATTTTCTTCATCTTCAACTTGAACTGCATGTGATCAATTTATAGTTCATTCCTCAGTTGGCCCCTGGCCTTATTCTAACTGATGATATTGAGCTTCTCCATCGTCTCTTGACACAGATGTAGTCATTTGATTTCTGTGTATTCCATTCAATGAGGTCCATATGTATAGTCGCTGTTTATATTATTCAAAAAGGTATTTCCAGTGACTAAATCATTGGTCTAGCAAAATTATATCATGCTATCTCCCACAATTAGAGAGAAGCAAATCAAAACTACAATGAGATATTATCTCACCCCTACATAATGGCACTGATCAAAAAGAAAAGAACAAATGCTGGCAAGGATGTAAGGGGATTGGAACTCTTCTTTTTCTTTTTTTATTCTTTATTTTTTTGGGTTATTTTGCACATGAAAATATGTAAAAAGAGATATGAGGTTTATTAGCAAAGCAACAGGTTACAATTAGGATCAGAAACCAATCAGGATACAGTTCTTCAATCAGGACAACTTCTTCTCAGTGTGCTGTAGGCACACTTCTCTCTGGCCTTGGCCTCTGCCTTGCACAGACCAGTGTTAAAATAAATTTCTTTAGCTTTGCCAATGGCACCCAAAGAGGCACCCCACTCCACCAGCAAGCCTCCTCCCTGAAGGCACTCAGCTTTCTTGTTCTGGGGGCCAGGAAGCCTATCATTCTGTCCCATTCCGTTCTCTTGGTTCTGCTGCCTCTGTTGCTGCTGTCTCTCTGCTGTCACTCTGCCAATGAGATCCAGCACAGGGATTTTGGCTCCAAGGAAATGCCCCACTCCTGATTCTTCTTCTGTCTTAATGTCAGGGAGATCTCTCTTTCCACTTCTGAGATGGCTCATTTTAAGCCTAGCAGGGTGGCAAACCTAACCAATCCCCATGTTAGGGTTCCATACACCTTTTATCCATGGCCCGACCCCCACAAGAATGCCATGTACCTTATTTACATTATTAACAAGCTATCTAGGGAATTGAAACTCTTATACATTGCTAGAGGGAGCTCTGGTGGCATAGTGCCTAAGGCATCTGACTGATAACCAGAAGGCTGAAGTTCTTTCAGCTGAGGTAACATTTCAGACTTTAGGGAAAAAAAAATGTAAAGAAATAATATACTCAGAGTTTCTTGGAGAAAAAAAATCCCAAATGGGGAAATTTTTGCTGCTATTGCTGTTTGACTTTTTTTTTAACAGTCCTCTTTGGTTGTTGTTGTTGTTATGTGCCGTCGAGTCAAACCCGACTCATAGTGACCCCTCCTTGGGTTTCCGAGGCAGTATCACTACGGAAGTAGGATTGCCCAACCTTCCTTCCTTCCTTCCTTCCAAGGAGTGGCTGGTGGGTTTGAACCGCCAGCCGTCTGGTTAGCAGGCAAGTGTCTTAGCCACTATGCTACCAGAGCTCCCATCCTCTTTGGAGGGCTAACAATTCACTCTTCACCTCTAAGCCTCTGGACAAGTAGAGAGATGGATATGAACTTTCTTTCTAGACTGAAAAGTGCTTAAAAGGAAGGTGTCACCACTATCATTGTCTTCCTTTACTGATGGGTCTTTGACCAGATACATAACGAAAGCTGGGGCGGGGGATGTCCTTCTAGTGAAAATTGGTGGCAGTCCTCACATTACCTAAACTAGAAGCAAGAAGCTCCCTCCAGCCAACCCATCCCACTGAGCAAACCTCATTCCTGACAGCCACAACAGAGAGGAAAGACAAAAGCATAACTGGGATTGTTGGATGAGCCCTTGCAAGAGGTGATAGTTACATCAGGTGGCGTGGTGTAGAGACATTGTGCAGAGCCTGCTTACTGGGATGCAGTCTTCGTCTTCCTTGCCCAAAGTTGGTGATGTGGGCTCTTTGTTCTGCCACTTACAAGGGTAAATCATTTTCAGTTCTCAGGACTTCAGTTTCCAGAACTTTCTCAAGTGTGATTTCTAGGCTAAAAGCATAGGTGCCATAATGAAAGTTGGTTGCTATTTTCCCCACAGACCTCTTCCAATTTTTGTTGTTTATGGGTGATTGCAGCACAGCACCTTGAAGTTTGTTGTTGTTAGGTGCCGTCGAGTTGATGCCAACTCATGGTGATCCTATGCACAGCAGAACGTAACTGCCTGGTCATGCGTCATCCTTACAATCCTCGCTATACTTGAGCCCATTGTTGCAGCCATACCTAGCCAAAAAAACACAGGGGCATCAACGTATTCTTCTCTGAGCAAAAATCTCCATCTCGGTGCTCCTGGACATATGGCAGACCCAACCTGGCCTTGGTTTTCTTTCCTGAAGGAGAGTAGAATAACTGAAAACACCTAAACTGTTTGGCAGACAGTTAAAGGGGATTTTCCCATTAATATGGGAACTCAAAAGATATCTGGTGTTTGAAACAGGATATTTGAACTGTGAGGAGGCTTGTTGACCTCAAGTTCCATTTTGTCAATGAATTTTTATTATAGTTTCAAATAGCAAAAAGATTACCAAATTGGCCTTTCACCTGTATTATCAAATCCTTGCAACAGCTCTTTATGCAAGGTGAATATTACTATCCCCATTCCACAGATAAGGAAAGTAAGGCTCAGAAAGGGTAATGAACTTATCGAAAGTCATAGAATTAGGTGGCTGTAGCTGGAGTGTGGTGGTTAAGTGCTCAGCTGCTGACTGAAAGTTGAGCAGTTTTGATTCACCAAATGTAGTAGACTGCTTCTGTAAAGATTACAGCCTTGGAAACCCTATGGGGCAGTTCTCTGCCCTATAGCGTTGCTATGAGTTGGAATAGACTTGACAACAAATGAGTTTCATTTTGAGGGTTTATGCCTGACTGCTTCTCACTAGGGTACTTCACTTCAGCTTTGTACTCCAGGAGTTCCTGTAGTGTCTGTCTTCAGCTGTTGAGTTTTTCCTCTGCTCCCTAGGACAGACAACTGGCCTCAGCTCTCATAAGTAATGATTGTGGGCTTCTCTGAGACATAGTGAGCAACCCCTCTATTTCAGGAAAACCACAGGAAACCTATGGTTATGAACCAGCCCAACATAAGAGAACACATCTAACACCATAGTCAGCAAATACCTTACAGAAAGCCAACTCTGCACCAGCTGCTCGGTGCTGAGCACTTTATAAACTTATCTCATGGGTGCCTCACCACATCTTGTGAGATAAAGCTTATTCTCTCCATTTTACAGATGGAGGACACTGAGGCATAGAGAAAAGTCACTTCCCCAACGTAGGTAACTCTCATTGATGAACTTTTTATTTCTTGCACTTTTTACAATTTTATCTAGCTATTTGGGGGATTTTTGTGTTTAATATATTCTAGTTAAATTGTAATCTGCAGGAGGCCAGGAGCTGTGTTCGTCTTTTTCCTTAGTGCCTGGCACCGAGCAAGGTGCTCACAAACAGCAATTATGGAATGAGCACGCTTAAGACGCCTAAGGATCGGGGAGGGTGATTTCACACCTAGGAAAGCACCCTTAATTCTCCCTTCAGACACCAGTTCTGACAACCACTATAACTGAAAATGTAACTGGTAGCCTCTCTAGGATAGTCCAGCTACTGAAATAATCTGGGTCACCCGACTGGATGCCCAACCACGGGTATTTCGCTTGTAAGTCGTTTCCAAGTAGCCCTAATTTATTTATTCCGCCGGGGAATGAGGACTCCAGGGACAGCCAGGCTTGTTTGGTTCTCCAGAAATTGACAGCCTAGCGGACACCCTAAGCGAGTAGGGCCCTTTCCCCGCCTCCTTCCAGGGCTTCGCCTTTGCTGCGGGGGCGGGGCCGAGGGGAGGGGAGAGGGGAGCGGTTGGTCCGGGGACCTCTTCCGGGCCTGGGGGCGGGGAAGGGCACGGGCCCAACTCCGCCCCAACTAGGGGGCGGAGCTAGGGCCCTGGACTATCCTAGGCGGCTGCAGGTAAGGCAGTCAGGCGCTGGGGTTGTCCAGGACCAGGGTCTGGCGTGATCTCGTGCGAAGATGCCCGGGCTCTTCAGAGGAGTGGGCCCAGTCGGGGTACAAGGCCTGGGAACGGGTTCTTTGGCTCCGGCCTGGCCTCATTGACCAGCCTGGTGTCTCCCGACCCGTCTTCTCCCTCCAGGCGCTGCCATGCAGTGATGGTACTAGAAGGGGTTGGCTGGGGGAGATTTCCGCCCACGCGAAACCCACCGGACTGAGCTCTGGGCTTTGAGGACAGCGATCAGTGGCCTAGGCCGCAGGTCTGATTTATTCATTTATCTATCCGTTAATCCCTCCATTCATTCACCGTTCACTCACTTCTACACTATGCCTAACCCTTTAGTAGGTTCTGGAGACACCTTGATGAATCTGACAGGTCCAACTCTCTGGAAATTTAGGCTACTGGAAAGCAGTCCAGAATCGTGTCTAGAAACTTTTAAATAGATAATTACATTCAGAGTGATTCCTGCAATGATGTTTGCTTAATAGATGCCTTCAGAACCCGGAAGAAGGAAGTGACTTGGGAGTGGAAGAGAATACAACGAATCAGGTGAGGCTTCACTGAGGCGGTGCCATTTGAACTGGGCTTTGGAGATTGACTAGGAATTAACAAGGAGGGAAGGGACATTGCAGATAGGAGGAGCAGCAAGGGTTGCAAGTTATAAAAGGGCCTGCCATGTTAGAGGAACAACAAAACGGCCTAATATAGCAGGAGATTCTAGAAGGTTAGTCCAGAAGACCTTGAATTCCACACCCAGGCCAGGATTTATCCTAGAGTTCTGTATTTGTCAGCCATTTAAAATGTTTTATCTTTTGATAAATATCTTGTGATACCTGAAAATTTATTTTGATATGTGTCATTCCCCCAAAGTGAATCACAGATACACAGAAAACTTTAGCCCCCCCCAAAAAAACTTACTCCCTATAGTCATGTTAAGAAAAAAACTTTGCCTCCCAAATATAAGATTATATAAAAAATTTGGTGATGCTTATTCAAATGAAAGTGATAAATTCAACAACAAAGATTTTAAGGAGAGTAGTGACTCTTCTTTTTAAAAAATAAACTCAATGCTGTTGAGTTGATTTCAACTCCTAGTGGCCCCTCCTTGAGCAAAAAATAGATTGCTCAATCTTCCTTCTGAGGACTGGCTGGTGGGTTTGAACCTCTAGCCGCCTGGTTAGCAGTCAGATGCCTTAGGCACTATACCACAAGAGCTCCTCTGTTCTTCTTAGAAAGAACATTATAGTATATGTCTAAAACTTCTTTTCTTTTTTAGGCATAGGACACCATGAAGCTGCTGCCTGTCTTAGAGCCTGGAGACAAGCCCAGGAAAGCAACATGGTTTGTAAGGAAAGGATTCAGACACAGAAAAACCTGACTTTTTGTCTGATTTATAAGAAGTTGACTAACATATTTTATCATCAACAAAAGGTAGAGATGAAACTGTCTGCAGTTTCTGGTAATTAGACTCAAACTGTCTGAGAGGTCTTCAGAGGAAACATGGTGGGCCAATCATTATCACAGAGCAGATGTTCATTTTATTAAAATTCATTTACCAGGAAGAGGGAAGCACTGACCATCTGGCATCCTCTGCTCCAACATTGTGACTTCCCCCAAGCTGTGACTAATTTCTAAGATTTTCAGGGAATTGGATTTGGATTAAACTGGCTTCACTGTTTCTCAGCTGCTTGCTCAGCCAACCCTCAACAGCTAATACAGGCCTGGTGGGGGGCAGCTGCTGCACAGGTGCTGGAGGTGCAAAGGGGAGTAGCCTCTGCAGTGGGAGAGACAGACTAAGTGCATGGATGATGCTGATGAGAGGTGATCAGTGCTGAAGCAGGGCTCAGGGAAGGTTGTAGAGAGAAAACAGTGTTTCTGCAGGATCTTGGAGGAAAGCCTCCATTCTGGCTTCTCTGCATTCCATTCTTGCTCTGTACCCAACATAAATCTGACTATGACCCGCTCTACTTTAAAACCGTTTCATGCCTCCCCTTGAACTTAGGATAAAACCAAACTCCTTAAAGTGATCTAATAGGCCCTGCATGTACTATTCCTGCCTGTCTTTCCAACCTCAAATTTTCTTATTATTTCCTTTATTCTCTTTCTTTTCAACATGCCTTTCACCATTCCACTTAGGAAGTGTGCATGCTTATAAAAATGGCATGGCAACAGCATCATCCAGCCTCCTCTAGCTTTACAAGGTGGGTGGAGACTCACCATCAGCATGGATGGCCCAAGGCTGATTCCTATGAAGCAGAGGTTAGACTTGTCAGACATAACTCCTGCTCTCTCCCCTTTTTACAAATTCTGACACCAGCCATCTCTCCCTTGGCACTCTGTACAATCTGCTGGGTTCAATATTACATTGCAGTGACCATACAGAACTCACAAACAGTACTCACAATTATGGCCTTTATATAGGGAAGTAACAGGTTACAATTCAGGACCTGGAATGACTCAGGATACAGTTCTTCGGTTATGACAGCTTCTTAGTTATGCCCACAGGCAGGCCTCTCCCTGGCCCTTGGCCGTTTGGTCCTTGGCCCTCAGGCCTTTTGGGTCAGCCTGGCCTCTGCCCTGCTTAGGCAAGTGTTAGAAAGTTCTTTAGCTTTACTGGTAAGTGCCTGGAGGCACCTCACTCTGCCAGTAAGCCCTGGCCCAAAGGGGCTCAACCTTCTCACACTGTGTGTTGGCAAGCCTAGCTTCATGAACAAGTACTTGTAGGTACCCCACTCTGCTAGTAACCCTCCTGCCCAAAAGTGCTCGGCTCTGTCACTCCAAAGGCTCTCAGCACTCACTCCATAAGTCAGCACACCCACTGTAACTGCCTTGCTCTGTGGGCCGGGAAGCCCACTGCATTGTCTCACACCAGCCTTTTGGTTTTGCTGCTGTCTCTGCCACTGCTTCTCACTGCTCTGTGTGCTCTCTGGTGTTCCAGCTCTCTGTGTCTCCTGGGCCGAGGAGGTTCTCAGAACAGGAATCCCAGGTCCAAAGGACACACACACTCTGCTTTTTTAAAAAATTTTTTTATTGTGATTTGGGTGAAAGTTTACAGAGCAAATTCATTTTCCATGCAGCAGTTCGTACATATTTTGTTTCATGACATTAACGGCAGTTCCCCACAATGTAACAGCTCTCTTCCCACTTCCTCCCTCTAATTGTCTATTCCCTGTGTTCTTCTTTCTTAGGCATTCCTGCCCCCTGAGCTATCTCCCTGTATAAATACTGCCCTTCTCTTCTCCCATGATTGATCTTTTTAAGGAGTGTATCTACCTGATGTAAATGTTCACCCTATATGCTTATCTGTTGTTTGGCTGGAAGCCGCAGAAGTGAGATCAGTTCCAGACTGAAGCGTAACTGGGGGCCACAGTCTTGGGGGTCTCAGCAGGCTTTATCAGACCGGTAAACCTGGTCTTTTTTATGATTCTGAGTTTTGTTCCATATTGTTCTCCTACTCTATCCAGGCTCTTTGTAGCTCTTCTTTCTTGGTGGTAATGTGGTCCTTCCTCTGCTCTGAGATTGGCTATCTTTTAAATTTATTGGTAGGTGCAGTCAAAGCAAAAATCAAACTCACTGCCATTGAGTCAATTCTGACTCTAGCAACCCCCTTTGGGTTTCAAAGGCAGTAAATCTTTACAGAAGTAGATTACCCAGCTGCAGAGCGGCTGGTATAAACCACCAACCTTCTGGTTAGCAATGAAATGCCTTCAGCAGCATGTCATCATCAAGTCGGTTCCAACCCACAGCATCCCAGTGTAGAACAGAATAAAACACTGTCTAGTCCTATACCATCTCACATGCGTTGCTGTAAATTGAGCCCATTGTTGCAGGCACTATGTGACTTTATTTGCATCATTCTATTCAATTGTTTGGTGAGAAGTACAAGACCATGGTGAAAAAGACATATAAAAGTGATCTATTGCACCACAATGCTGGTCTCTTTATCTGAACCACTCTTTTCCTCCATTTTTTATTCTTCTTTTTGCATAGCTAACTTTTAGTCATTCTTCAGATCTCAGTTCAAATGGTGCTTCTTCAGGAAGTCTTCTCTAACCACCCCAGCACCATTATCTCACCTCTTCTCACATGATAAGGTCCCCCTATGATCTTATACTATACATATCATGCCCTCCTTTATAGCATAAGTGAAATTAAATTGGTATCTGTGCAATTTCTGTTTAATGTCTCTCTTTCCCAGCGAGTCTGCAAGAGCCATGAAGGCAGAGAGACATGTTTTGTCTTGTTCACCATGTATCTAGATGGCTCTGTTTTCCTGATTAAGTTATTTATAACCTTTCTAAGCCCCAATTCCTCAGTTGAAAGGTTCAATAATGATAACACCTATCCTCAAAGGTGTTTTATGTAGACTAAGTATAATTAGCAGCATGCCTGGTACATTTTTAACAATTATTCAGGTAGTAATGAGATGTGTGAATTTAGATACCAGAAGAGAGAGCTAGACAAGAAGTAGAGATTTGGAAATCTCTGATAAATATACACAACGAGTGGTAATTGAAATCACGGATATGGTGAAATTGATGAGGTAAGCAAACGAAGAGAATCCTGGGATTCTCAAAGGATGCTGGGAGTTAGCAGGAGGCTGATAGGAAAGGAATCAGAGAAGGACACAGAAAGAACAGGTAGAAAGGTGGGGGAATCCAGGTAAGAAGAAAAGTACAGGAAGGAGGGAGGGATCAAGAATACCAAAGCTAGAGAGATCACACAAGATAGGGCTTGAAAAATGGCTCAGGAATTTTCTTTTCCCACCAGGAAGCTCTCTTAATCATCATTCAGAATAACAAGAGAGTAGGATAAATGGATGTGTACTTTATTCTTCAGTGTCCTAGCCTTCATCTTACTGAGCTTTGTGTGCAATCTAGAAAGGCATTTGAAAAGAATAAATTCAAGAGAGTATTTCTTGACAGGGGGAAGTATCTCTGGCTATTGACAAGGGCTTTGGGGCTGTCGGTTCCTGTATGACTGCACATAAGGTTCTAGTCACTATTTATTGAGTCTTTCCATGCGTTGCTACCAGCCTTACTCTTTACTACCACATTTTGAGGTAAGAATTACTGCTGTCCACATTTTAGAAATGAGGAAATGAAGATTGAGAAAGGTTAGAAGTGACCTCAAAAGATAAACATCTAGAAAGGAGCTGAGCTAGGATTTGAACAAGGTCTGTTTGAATTCACAAACAATGCTTATAACCACTATTCTGTTCCTGGACACACCACTGGACATTTCTGGGTCTTAGTTTCCCTACCTAAAAAAATAAGGACACTTACTACCTCAACCCAGCCCCACTAGATTACTGTGAGATGAAAGTAGTGACAAAATTGCTAAGCCAAAGATTCTGTGCAAATGGGTAAGTGTCTGTGTATGAATAAGAACCTTTATTCTGGTGAATTTCATGAGGCATGACACAACCCACTGTTGTGTTTGGTCTGTGCTCAGTCGTCCTGAACACATTCTCCTTTTGTCAGGTATACCTTGACCCCATCTGGAGACAGCCCTTGTGCTCGAGTTGGCCACAGCTGCTCATATTTACCCCTAGTTGGTGACACCAAGAGAGGGAAGGTCTTCATCGTTGGGGGAGCAAATCCAAACAGGAGTTTCTCAGATGTGCATGCCATGGATCTGGGTAAGACCAGGAGTTGTGGGATCGGTGGAGCTTATACCCTGCGGCCAGAGAGCAGGGCTTTGTGCTGCCAGCCATAACTAGAGCATTCCCAGGAACATCAGTTCAGACCAGGCAGCAGAGTTTTCCTCTAAAACTATGAACATCGGTGATACGTCCCTGAGGTCTCAGACGACCTCTTGGAACACATCCACCCCACTACTACCTTCCTGATTTGAGGGAAAGAACCTGTGTATGGAGTCCTGGCCATTCATTCAAATATTTCTCTGGGAGACATCAATGACATCCCCCCCTTTCCCTCATCCACATATGCAATTAATCACCAATTTCTAGCTATCTGTTGTCTTCATCCATGTCTCTCCCCTTCCATTGCTACTGCCATAGTCCATGTCACCATTATCTCTCAACTAGACTGTAATGGCCTCCTCACTGGTCTCCCTGCTTCCAAGTTACCCTCAATACAGCCAACTTTCTATGCTTACCCAGAGGATATTGTATAAAATACAAATCAGACTATATCCTCCCTTGAATGAAACCTTCCCCAACCTCATTTCTTGGCTCTTCCCAACACTCATTTGCTACACTTCAGTTCCTTGAACACACTTTTAACTCTGTTGACTTCAAGACTTTGCATGCTGTTCCCTCTGCCCCAAAAGCTCTTATCTTCCCTATACTATTCTTTCATATCTCAGATTAAATGTCACTGTCATGTTTTCCTTGATACTCCTGGAGTAATTTAGGCACCCCTGCCCTATATTTCCATAGTCCTCTGTACTTTCTCATCCTTATCCCCCTTCATAACGCTTATTGCATGTGATTGTTTCTTATCTGTCTTCCCCACAAGATTATATACTCCTGAAAATAGGAGACTGTGGTTATTTCCCTTATTATTGTATCCCTAGCTACTAACATAGCACCTTGCACAGAGTAGGCACTTTCTAAGTGTTTTGATGACTGAACAGATGAAGGAGTAACTACTATGTACTACACATCAGAGCAGGAATTGAAAACTGGTAACCCACATACATAATTGGTTAGATCCACCCGTATAATGTTAGCATTTTAATCTGTTTGCCAACTAACTGTAAAGAAGGCTTCAATATAAATATTAAAATGATTTGGCTTCTCTTGATGATTTTGGGATATCTGAGATATGGCAACAATGATTTGAAGCTCAGTAGCAGCTGCCACCTGTCAAAGGGGCTGTCATTCTTCAATTTGCCATAGTCACCACCACTCTTCAAGACCTCACTGTGTAGTTTGGTTATATCTCTTTTGCCTCCTGTGCTGTGATCCTGGCCAAACCTTCTAAACTATCTGAGCCTCAAGTCTCCTGTAAAATGAGGATAATAACCTGCTTCACTTGGTAGTTGTAACGATTACCAAGATGATGCCCATGAAAGTCCTGTGTAAGTAGTTTGCTAAAATAACGGATGAGTTTGGTATTCTTACTCTGTGAACCTGTTTTAGCTAGAGATCATTTAGTTGTAGGTAACACAGACTTAAGTTAAACCAGCAAAAAAGGGGGATTTATTTATACAGATACAAGGGCGTTTCACAGAATCCAAGAGCAAGAAGTATAGCCCAGGTTCAGGAGAGAGTGAGGAAGGTATTGGAAAGCTGTCCAAAACTGTTTTGTCTCCTCCCCGTCTCTCTCTGGGGAGGTCCTGCTTCTTTACGCAGATCTCTTTCATTCTTTTCTAGTCTGTACCTTGGCTGTCTCTGCTTCTCCACACGTGGTAGAAGATTGCCATTTAAATCCAGAAATCTGTTTGAATTCCGGATTCTTGAGAGGGAGGACCTGATTGGTCAAGTGGCCACCTCTGATCCAATCAGCTAAGGCTAGAAAGTCAAGGTGATGTAGTACAAACATGTCTTCCAAGATCTGCCCCTGTGGTTAGAGAGAAGAACAAAGAGTTGATAAAGTAGGCAGGCAGACAGTGCCCTAAGTGGAACTTTTTGGATGTTGACTACATTCCCTTTAAGTGATTTCAGTGTTGTTTGTTGATGCTTTTGACCTCCTCCTTACTACCCTCCTCAAGTCTGTTAACCAGTATAAGCAGTCGGCAGCCCCAATCAAACAATTGGTTGAAATGTTTGCTAGGTACACACCAGTGGGATTTAGCCACGTGGGAGGGCCTCTTGCCCCGGTACGAACATGCCAGCTTCATTCCTTCCTGCACACCTGACAGCATCTGGGTGTTTGGAGGTGCCGACCAGTCAGGAAATCGAAATTGTCTACAAGTGCTGAAGCCTGGTAAGTAGCCAAAGTTATTTTATTTACTTAAATCCAATGTATGTATTGAAACCCACTTGGATTGTACTGATTTAGCTTTGCTGACCTCACAGAAAATACGAATTTTAACTTCTAACAGAAACTGAAAATAACAGAATTTTCCCCTCTTCTGGTAACATGTACAGTTATCAACTCCTTTTATGCCAAAGCTGGAAGGGACTTGAGAGAACAGCTATGCCAAGTGGGAAACTTGGGTCTAGCAAGGGGAAGTAACTGAGGAGTCCATGACTGAGCCAGGCTAGAGCCCAAGTCCTCTAGTTGAGTGGTTTTCAAATGGAGATGATTTTGCCATCCCCGGCAATATTTGGCAATATCTGGAGACAGTTTTTGGTTGCATAACTGGGGGGATACTATTGACATCTAGTAGGATAGGCCAAGGATGTTATTAAAAATTCTGCACTGCACAAGTCAGCCCCCAAATTATTTAATCTAAAATGTCAGTAAGTGCTGAGGTTGAGAAACTCTGACCAAAATTGTCCTGGAACTTTTTTTCTCTAAGGAAAAAAATTCAAGGTTCTTGGCTTGTCTTACAGGCATTTCTATCAAAAAGGAAGCAATGTGGGGACTAACAGTTACTACTGAGAGGAGGATGTTGCTGAACAGCCTATGGGGGGTAGACTTTTTTGTCATCTAAAAAATTTTGGTTTTGTCTACTCTTTAAAAATATTGTTTATATTCATTGTAAAATATTTGTGCAGTTTGAAAAAGTAGACAAAAGTCATCCACAGTTCTGCACTAAGGCTATTAATAACATTTTTGTACTTCCTTTGTCTTTTCTCTGCATTTTAACAAGCCTGAGAGCATACTATATATGTACTTTTGTACCCTTTTCCATTCAATTTCATAATTACTGCAGAAATTATTTTCTGTTAATAGTGCTTTGGTAGGAGCTCTGGTAGCATAGTGCCTAAGGCACTTGACTGCTAACCAGAAGGCTGGCAGTTCAAACCCACCAGCCACTCCTCGGAAGGAAGGTTGGGCATTCCTGCTTCCGTAGTGATACTGCCTCAGAAACCCAAGGAGGGGTCGCTATGAGTCGGGGCTGACTTGATGGCAAATAACAACATAACAACAACAACAAGTGCTTTGGTAACATTTTTATGGCTACATAATATTCTCTTTTATAATACCATAATTCCTCTATTGTTGAGCATTTAGGTTTTCAAATATTTACCATTGTGAATAACAAAGCAGTGAACATCTTTGTTCAGAAGTCATTGATTGTATTTCAGATTATTTTCTTAGGATTCATACTCTGAATTACAGAGAGATAAGATATTGTGAACATTTATAAGGCTTTTGATACATGCTACCAAATTGCTCTCCAGAAAGATTTGTCCAGTTCACCTTCTCTCCAGCCATGTTTGATAGTGCTTTTATTTCATTCACTCTATCCTGACTAGCACTGGATTTATCATTTTCAAACACTTGGCTAATTTAATAGGAAAAAAAATATAACGTATCTAAAACCAAAAACCAAACTCACTGCCATTGAGTTTTTTCCAACTCATTGTGACCCCCATTTAGGTTTCTGAGGCTGTAAATCTTTACGGAAGTAGATCGCTCCATTTTCCTTCTGCAGAGTAGCTGGTAGATTTGAACCGCTGACCTTCCGGTTAGCAGTCAAGTGCCTTATCACTACGCCACCGGAGCTCCTGCTAATAATAATAATATAATAATATACGTAGAAAATAATGTGTCTAGTTGTTTAAATATGCATTTTGTTAATTGCTTATAACCTAGGCATTTTCCATATATCAGTCAACTCCTGACCAGTCCCTTCTATCAACAATTGTGTAGTAAAGAATTTGGCTGGTCTTTGTCCTTGATTCCTGGGAGGTAACCTCTAAACCTTGAGATAAGGAATTTGGCTGGAAATGCTGGAAAGATCAACCATATGATTAAAGTTGGAGTTTTGAAGTCAGCCAACTTGAGGGGGGCGGAGGTGGAGATCAAGTGTGGCCCATACAATGGAACCTCAGTAAAACTTTGGACACCAAAGCTTAGGGGAACTTCTCTGGTTGGCAGTATTGTGTCTTATCACACATCAAGGTGTTAGGAGGGTGATACATCCTAATTCCATTGAGAGAAGATAATGGAAGCTCCCATTTTGGACCTGACCCAACCTCACCCTATAGATCTCTCCCTTTGGCTACAAAAAAACTGTAAACATAAGTATAATACTTTCTTAAGTTCTGGGAGGTGTTCTGTCAAATTATGGAACCTGAGGGGGCTAGTGGGAACCCCCAAAATTGTAGCCAGCTGATCAGAGTTGAAGGTGGCTTGAGGACCCCTGAACTTGTAGCTGTTGTCTGAAGTGAGGACTGTCTATGTCCTTAACCTGTGAAGTTTCACCTAACTCCAGGTAGTTGATGTCAGAACTCATTACAACGATACGTTTACATGACAAATGGTCCTTTAGGAGATGGGATTGAATTTTTCTGTGTGTCGAGTATTTAAATTTTGTTAACGCAGCAGCCACTCCTCAGAAGGAAGGTTGGACAATCTACTTCCACAGTGATTGTTGTTGTTGTTGTTATGTGCTGTCGAGTCGGACCCGACTCATAGCAACCCCTCCTTGGGTTGCTGAGGCAGTATCACTACGGAAGTAGATTGCCCAACCTTCCTTCCGTCTATAGTGATACTGCCTCGGCAACCCAAGGAAGGGTCGTTATGAGTTGGATCTGACTCAACAGCAGTGAATTGTTTTTTTTTTTTTTTTTAGTTAGTTATAGCTTAACAGTATAATAGGTATAATATTTATTTATTGCCTCTCTGGTACATAATTAATGCCCACTAATCATTAGTTGTTGTGCCTGATATATCTATGGTTCAAACTTTGTGTATTCAAAGGAGACCTACATAAAAGGCACAGAATTTCCCAAGAAAGAAATAATTCCTGGTGTGGTGTGGTGTAGTGAGTATGGGAGTTCAAGAGATCTGAGTTCAAACCCATGCTCTGCTACTCAAAGCACTGGTACCCAGAGGAAAGGACTTGAATTTTCTGAGCTTTAGTTCCCTCATCTGCAAAATGGGAATACTTTCCCTCAACTACCAGGGCTCAGTGAGAGTAGTGAGGATGGAAGTATTCTCGGGGCATAATTCAGAGCAAGGAAGGTGACCAATTAATGCATCTCTCTATACAATTCTTGTTTCATTCTTTTTTTTTTTTTTCTTTTTAAAATTATGGTGAAAATTCACATAACAAAACAAATGCCATCTCAACAATTCATGTTTCGTCCTTAAATAATCTTCTGTATGCCTACCTAGGTGGTGAAATTTCTTTCTCAGGTCACATGAATAGTAAATACATAGATCTTGCTGTTACCAAAACAAGGTTTGAAGCTGATCTCAGCTATTTACTAGCCATATCACGTTATACAAGTGACATAATATATCTCTGCTTCGATTTCCTTATCCGTAAAATGGGGAAACTATATTTATTGAGCATTTATTGCTTAGTAAGGACTATTATTACTGCTAATAAAACTGCAATAACATTTCCTACTTTTATCTTAATGACCACATATACTGGGAAGTTTGGTCTCTGGCTTCTAGTGGGAATGATTTTTTTTTAGAAGATGTTGGACTCTTGTGAATGGGCCTGAGGCAGGAAAGTCAGCAAAGTAGAAGAGGATTTAGAAAGGGTTTTTGAAGACCTCTGGAAAAAAAATGGACCACATTCTTAATTGTACCTGTGGCTTTGCAATCTTGGGGATTTTGGTATGTCTGGACAAATTCTAAGGATGCTCCCATCCCTTCTTGTCTTTGATGGGTATGAGGTCACTGCTTAGAAATATGGTGACCCATTTGGGAATTGGGGATTGGAAGGTAACCTGGCCCTTCCAGAGTCAAGGTCAGAGGCCATTGAGCCTGGGTGTTTTAGATACATGTCTTCTTTCTGGACCAGAAACCAGGACCTGGACCACACCAGAGGTGACTGGCCCCCCACCATCCCCGAGAACATTCCACTCATCAGCAGCAGCCGTTGGAAACCAGCTATATGTCTTTGGAGGTGGAGAGAGAGGTGCCCAGCCTGTGCAGGATATGAAGCTGCATGTGTTTGACGCAAGTATGGACTGGTGGCCACCTTGGGGCTGCCACTTACCTGGTCAGGGCCACATGGCCTGTGGCTTACCCGGTGTAGAAAGCAGAGGTTAGAAAATGAAACCCTAATCAAGTGACTGTCTCACTTCTTGACTTCTTTCATATGTCTCTTGGCTGCTTTCTTCTCCTACACAGTAAAATTTACATTTGTTGTTGTTATTGTTAGGTGCTGTTGAGTTGGCTCCAACTCATAGCAACCCTGTGTACAATAGAACAAAACACTTTCCAGTCCTGTGCCAGCCTCACAATCCTTGCTGTACCTGAGCTCATTGTTGCAGCCACTGTGTCAAAACGTCTTGTTGAGGGCTTTCCCCTTTTTTGCTGACCCTCCACTTTACCAAGCATGATACCCTTCTCCAGGGAATGGTCCCTTCTGACAACATGACCAAAGTAGGTGAGATGAAGTCTGGCCATTCTCACTTCCAAGGAGCATTCTGGCTGCACTTTGTCCAGGACAGATTTATTTGTTCTTTTGGCAGTCCATAATACTTTGAGTATTCTTCACCAGTACCACAACTCAAACTTCTTTAGTTTTCCTTATTCATTGTCAAGCTCACACATGCATATGAGGCGATTGAAAATACCATGGCTTGAGTTAGACACACCTTAGTTGTCAAGGAGATATCTTTGCTCTTCAGCACTTTAAAGAGGTCTTGCAGCAGATTTGCCCAGTGTAATACATTGTCTGATGTGTTGACTGTTGCTTCCATTGATGTTGATTGTGGAACCAAGTAATATAAAATCTTTGACAACTTCAGTCTTTTATGCATTTAATATGATGCTGATTATTGGTTCAGTTGTGAGGATTTTAGTTTTCTTTATGTTGAGATGTAACACATACTGCAGACTGAAGTCTTTAATCTTCATCAGTAAGTGCTGCAAGTCATCCTCACTTTTAGCAAGCAAAGTTGTGTCATCTGTGTATCTCAGGTTGTTAATGAGTCTTACTCCAATCCTGATGCCATGTTCTTCTTCATATAGTCTAGCTTCTCAGATTATTTGTTCCACATACAGATTGAATAAGTGTGGTGGAAGGATACAACCCTGACACTCTCCCTTCCTGATATTAAACCATGCAGTATCCTCTTGTTCTGTTTGAATGACAGCCTTCTGGTCTATGTACAGGTTCCTCATGAGCACAATCAAATGTTCTGGAATTCTTATTCTTCTCAGTGTTATCCATAATTTGTTATGATCCATACAATCAAGTGCTTTTGCATAGTCAATAAAACACAAGTAAACATCTTTCTTTGTTTTCAGTCAAGATCCACCTGACATCAGCATTGATATCCCTCATTTCATGTTCTCTTCTGAATCCAGTCTGCGTTTTTGGAAGTTCCCTGTCAATATACTGCTCCAACTGTTTTTTAATTGTTTTCAGGAAGATTTTACTTGCATGTGATATTAATGATATTGTTCAATAATATCCACATTCTGTAGGATCACTTTTCTTTGGAATGGGTGTAAATATGGATCTTTTCCAGTCAATTGGCCAGGTAGCTGTCTTCCAAATTTCTTGGCATAGATGAGTGAGTGCCTCCAGCATAGCATCTGTTTGTTGAACATCTCAATGGATATTCCATCAATTCTTGGAGCCTTGTTCTTCACCAATTCCTTCAGTGCAGCTTCATCTTCCTTCAATACCATCGGTTCTTGATCATATGCCACCTCCTGAAATCAGTGAACATCGACCATTTCTTTTTGGTACAGTGACTGTGTATTCCTTCCATCTTCTTTTGATGTTTCCTGCAGCATTCAACATTTTGCCCATAGTATTGCAACTGGAGGCTTGAATTTTTTCTTCAATTCTTTCAGCTTGAGGAATGCTGAGTATGTTCTTCCCTTTTGGTTTTCTAACTCCAGGTCTTTGCACATTTCATTATAATAATTGACTTTGTCTTCTCAAGTTGCTCTTTGAAATCTGTTCAGCTCTATTCTCTTGTCATTTCTTCCATTTTCTTTAGCTACTTTCTGTTCAGGGGCAAGTTTCAGAGTGTCTTCTGACATCCATTTTTGGTCTTTTCTTCCTTTCCTGTCTTTCTAATGACCTTTTGCTTTCTTCATGAATGATAGATAGTCTTGATGTGATTCCACAATTCCTTTGGTTTTTGGTCACTGATGTTTAATGCATCAAATCTATTCTTTAGATGGTCTCTAAATTGAAGAGGAATATAATCAAGGTCCTATTTTGGGTTTTGTGGACTTGTTTTAATTATTTTCAGCCTCAACGTGAACTTACATATGAGCAACTGATGGTTTGTTCCACAGTCAGCTCCTGGCCTTGTTTTGGCTGAAGATATTGAGGTCTCCAACATCTCTTTCCACAGATGTAGTCACTCTGATTCCTGTGTACTCCATCTGAAAAAATCCATGTGTATAGCCATCGTTTGTGTTGTTGAAAAAAGATATTTGTGATCAATAAGTTGTTGGTCTTAGAAAATTCTATCATGTGATCTCCAGCATTATTTCTGTCACCAATGCTGTGTTTTCCAACTACTGGTGGTTCTTTGTTTCCAACTTTTGCATTCCAATCACCAGTGATAATAAACACATTTTGATTGCATGTTTGGTCAATTTCAGACTGCAAAGTTGGTGAAAATTTTCAATTTCCTCATTTTTGGCTTGGTGGTTGGTGCATAAATTTGAATAATAGTGGTTTTAATTGGTCTTCCTTGTAGGCATATGGATATTATCCTATCACTGACAGCATTGTACTTCAGGATAGATAGATCTTGAAACATTCTTTGTGAAGATGAATGCCATGCCATTTGTCTTTGGTTTGTCATTTATGGCATAGTAGATCATGTGGTTGTCTGATTCAAAATGACCAAAACCATTTTACATGTACATTTAGAAAGGTATAAAAGATCAAATTTCAAAAACATTTAAACAGTAAAGTTTATAAAGTAAAACAAAAGTTTTCTTTTTAGGCTTTCCTCTCTACTTCCCAGACAGTGGTAAAACACTATTAGCAGTTCCTAATATCTCTGTCCAGATTTTTCTATGCATTTATTTATTAAATATATGTACATATATTAATTTTCTATGAATTGTTAAGTTATATATAAACTTAATAAACACATACAAATTATAAATACTGTTCTGTAGCTTATTTTAGGTCTTTGTAGTTGAAAGCATGAACTTGGAAACCACCTGACCTGGACTCAGGACTAAATCTGTTATAACTTTCTTTGTTACCTTAGTTTAGTTCCTTCATCTCTCTAGGCCTTAGTTTGCTGATTTATAGAATAGAGATGATGATAGTATTTACCAACTTCACTGATTATAAAGATGAAATGTGGTAACTTGGTGTAGTGCATAGCACAAAAGAGGCACCTAATAAATAATAACTGCATTATTATTAATTTTATTATTTTTTTACTTGATTACATGTCATGGATGTCTTTCTAAGTCAGTTTCAATTTCTATGCAAAGCGTATCCTTCTATAAAACAAACCAAACCAACTGCTACTGAGTCGATTCTGATTCAATAACCAATAGGACAGAGAAGAACTGCCCCACAGGATTTCCAAGGCTGTAAATCTTTATGGTAACAGACTGCCTCAGCTTTCTCCCATGGAGCAGCTGGTGGGTTCAAACTGCTGACCTGTTGGTTAGTAGCCAGATGCCTTATTCAGTCATTTTCCTATTGATTGACTTCTAGCTGACTCTGTTGCATAAAACATCTGTATACATTTACCTTTGCATATGTTACAAACATTTATATGGAATTGATGCTGAGCAGTAGATTACTGGGTCAAAATGGTATGAACATTTAAAATTGTGAGAGTTGTTGCCAAATTGGAGTCTAAAGAACATTAACTTAGATTTTATAAATAATACATTGTTTTATAAAAAATGTGAGAAAAATGCTTTTCAGTTATGTTTTACAGTCAAATACAGCCTGTCTTGAGGAAATGCAATAAGCAAAATTTCATACTTACAAAGTAAAATTGGAAGAATTAAGGCACTTCATGGTCTAACTCTTCTCTTTCTAAAAATACTGGATTTTTGATTCTTTTAAAGCACTTTTAAAAACTTCAAATAATATTGTTTTAATATATAAAACTATAAAGAAGTAATGAAGTAAATATGTGTGTATATGTATGTTTGTGTGTGTATATGTGTGTGTGTGTAAAATACTATCATCCGAAAATTAACATTAACATCTCAGTGCACTTCTAGTCTTTTTTTTTTCTATTATGTTATTGTTGTTAGTTGCCATTGAGTTGGTTCCAACTCATAACGACCTGAAGTACAACAGAACAAAACACTGCTTTGTCCTGCACCATTCTGACAATTACTGTCACTCTTGAGCCCGTCATTGCAGCCATTGTGTCAATCCACCTCATCTACCTGGTGCAAATATATGCCTGTCTATTGTTTGACTGGAAGCCATGGGAGTGAGTTTAATTCCAGACCTGAATGGTAACTAGGGGCCATAGGCTCGGGGGCCTCATCAGACTCTATCATACCAGTAAGCCTGTTTTTTTTGTGTGTGATTCTGAGTTTTGCTCCACATTGTTCTCCCACTCTATCCAGCATCTCCTGTCCTGTAATGATCTCTTTCTGAGTGGTTGACTGTGGTAGCCAGGCACCATCTAGTTCTTCTGCTCTCACGGTCATATAGGCTGAGGTTTGCATGGTCCACTAGTCCCTTGGAGTAATTGTTTTCATGAGTCTTTGGTTTTCTTCATTCTTCTTTGCTGTGGATAAGGAGAGAACCATTGTTGCATCTAGATGACCAATTGCAAACTTTTAAACCCCAGTTGCTACTCACCAAAGAAAGATACAGAGCAATGTTTTTGTGTAGTATGCAAGTTGAGCTTGATGTCCCCTGACACCATAGGTCCAATAACTCCATCTAGGTGGTTGACTGTGTCTAAGAAGTTATCATAACTTTGCCCCTTGTTAGTTCTAGTTACATGGACGTAATTACGGCACATACAAATACATATGTAGAAATATCATCTGCCAACCTTATGTATGGTCATGGGTATATTTCCTTTTGCCTAGACATACCTGATCATTCAGCCTGTCTATCCATCTATTTACCCATAGATTAATGTTTGTTATCACTGATGACACAGTTTTGTGTATGTGAAAGGGTTTATCTTTGTTGTCTGTACCTCTTGTGCACCCCTCTGTGTCTTCCTTTTCCTCAGTGTTATTGTACTGGTCACTCACTTTTGGTGTATTGTGATGACAGCGAATTTACTTTTCTAGATACTCTGACTTGGTCACAGCCAGAGACCCTTGGCAAACCCCCATCCCCCCGGCATGGTCATGTGATGGTGGCAGCAGGGACAAAGCTCTTCATCCATGGAGGCTTAGCAGGGGACAAATTCTATGATGATCTGCATTGCATTGATATAAGTAAGTAAGATGGGGGCTTGTCAGCTTGAATTTAAATAGAATGTGCTGTGATAGAGTAAAGCCATGCTCCTTAGGTATGGGTTACTTGAGAAGCCAGTAGAGCCTTCACTGGATTCTGTCAAGTGTGGCCTGAATAATAATAATAATAGCAATAAATGCGAACATTTCCTGAGCACTTACTGTGTGTTTAAGTATTATCTTTCATCTTCCCAACAAACTGCTCTGTTTCATTAATATCCATTATGTTTTGTATTCTCCAGGTGGATTTCTTTCAAGCATTAGCTGTGAGGAACCTGGATAACTACTAGAGTGTGTTTTGAAATTGGTGACTAGAATTCCATGGTTGAAAATACTGGTGAAGAGGAGGGTTAGGGAAAACATGAGAATTGTCACTGAAGGGCTAATGTGTCCAGTAAGACCTGGACTCATGCTCAGTCTTCCAGACTGAGCCCCATGAAGACAGGACTTTGTCTTTCTTGTGTCTCAGTGTATTTCCAGCATTTAGCACAGTGTCTGGCAGATAGGAGAGGAAAAGTACTTATCTATTGAATGACTGAATGGACAGATGAATGAATAAATGAACGTCTTCTGCATTGCTTCAAACTTCAGAAATCAGAGCAGTGCTAGAAGGCATTGGGAGTTTCTATACAGTATATTGGTCTTTCTTGCCAAGTGTTTCATTCTCTGGCTTGGTGACATCTGAGGCCAGGGGTTGTTGACTGAGATTGCTACATTAGCTTGAATTTTGGCTGGACTGGGTGGTTCCCCCCTCTTCCACCTCTGGGATGCTGGGCTCGTGCCTTGTATATACAGATGGAAACTGTCTTCACTGAAGCATTCCTTACAGGCAGTCAAATGTTGTTTGTTTTCAATACATTTTTTTTTTTCAGTGAAAATGTACCCAGCAAAGCATGCACCAACAAATAGGATTGTAATATTCATTTTTAGAAAGTAAAATTGTTTTCTCTTGTGCTGAGGAACTACTTCCTATTGATTTTTATTGCCTACCCAAATAGTTCTCTAAACTTAGAATCCAGGGATATCCTGCCTCATGTAAACACTTGTTTGAAAAGATGCAAGTTTCACTGCAAAAATAAGTTGAGTAATGGCTGAAGCAGCACATTTACAGTATGGGTATTCACTGTTGTATAGCCAGCACTCTGAAGTTACTTTCTAGGAGAGTTTTAGTATTTAAAAAAGTGCATGTGTACACATGTTCACGCACACACATACACACACACAGAACCCCACCTATTTCTGGGTTCCAGCACAGTGATGATGGTCACTGAAGATTCTAACACATTTTTCAGTGTGCTTCTCTACATCAGAATCACTGGGGATGCTTGTTAGAACTATATAGTCCTTCCCAGGATAACCAAATTAGAATTTCAAGCTCCCCCAAGTAATTCTATTCACACTAAACCTTGCTGTTATTACCTCAGTGTTCTTAGTGAATCACTGAAGTGTGATTGGTTTGCAAACTGGAGGAGTCCAACAGAGATTAAATTTGAAACCACATTTTAACCCATGTTGTACCCAAACACTCTCTTTCTCTTGGCAGTTGACATGCAGTGGCAGAAGCTAAATCCCACTGGGACTGCTCCCACAGGCTGTGCTGCCCATTCAGCTGTGGCTGTGGGGAAACATGTGTATATCTTCGGGGGAATGACTCCCACAGGAGCACTGGACACAATGTACCAATACCACATAGGTGAGCAAGTATCACCCTGGATCTTAAAGAAGTGTGACCCCCTCAAGATTAGAAAAGGGACACAGTACTCTGGCTTTCCAAATTGGTTCCTCCACAGCTGAATCCCAAGCACTAACCCAATTTGTAGGGAATGGCATCATCAAAGCAGAAATGCTGCTATTTGTCTTTATTTCCCCTTTTGTCTTCCATTTGTTAAGGTTCAGCTGGTACAATAAATCACTGAGCATTTCTGGAAGTTTCTTAATACAAAGCCTTTTTTAAATTTTTTCCCCAATGTAGAAGAGCAGCATTGGACCTTACTTAAATTTGATACTGTTCTACCCCCTGGACGATTGGACCATTCTATGTGTGTTATTCCATGGCCAGTGACATCTGCTTTGGAGAAAGAAGATTCAAATTCTGCCCCTATAGACTGTGAAGCTGAGAAAGAGGATTTTGCTAACAAAGGAGTGATCCAAAATGCTAGTTTACAGGCAAGTCAGACTGACACACTGCTTTGTTTTGTGTTTGGTGGCATGAATACAGAAGGAGAAATTTATGATGATTGTATTGTGACTGTAGTTGACTAATAAAACCCATTTTATTACTTTTAAGCATCAGTTGCTTTCAGAAAAGTTAAATGACACCTTAGCTGTTTATACATCCAAAATATTTTCTGGACTATGTATGTGTCTTACGTATTTTGGTAGGTAAAAGAATGAACTGGATAGCCCAGTGAAAAACTCTATCTAAACAGAGTCTTATCAGCAATACAACATAGATGTGATTAGTTGTTATGAATACTGATCACCGAAAGGTTTCAACAGAATCACAATTGCTAGACACAATATAACCAAAAAACAAACTCACTGCCATCTAATCATTCTGAGTCATAGAAACCCTGTAGGACAGAGTAGAACTGCCCCATAGAATTGCCAAGGCAGTAAATATTTAGGGAAGCAGACAGTCTCATTTTTCTCCCAAAGACCAGCTGGTGGATTCATACCACCTACCCTTTTTGGTTAGCAGCTGAATGCTTTAACCACTACACCATGAGAGCTCGAGAGTGGACACTTGCAGGTTGAAATCTTTAATACTCAGCATCTGCTGCTCAGAGGTATAGTCTTGGTATAAGTAAATGGAGACAAGGCTGAAGACTAGCCATTATTTCTTAACCAGTCCCACTGACCCAGGGCACACTAGCACTGCTGGTCATTTTTTGTTTGTATTAAGCTTGGTCAGAATACCTAATGTTAAGTCCAAAACCAAAAGTCTAGGCCTGCCCAAATGCTTTTTGGGCAATAAGACAGAAGTCCAGGCCTCAGAGTAAGGTAAGTTTTGTGTTGGGTGCCAATTCTACCATCTTTATCATATTAACCCATCTATGAAATAAATCTATCCTCAGGCAATGCTGAATTTCATGTTAGCATCCCACAGTTTGACCTTTAATGACTTACCATCCTTTCCCTAGGAAGCCAATCCAAGTAATCCTAAACCTAGTTCTATATACACTGCCTTTAATCCAGAATTGTAGTGGGGTTTAGTGTAGATCCAAGGTTATCATCCCTAGGTCCCACCCCAGTGTCACCAAAGGAATTTTGAGGATAAAGACAGTTAAATCCCAGTATGTAAAGTTATATCAGTTATTAGGTCACTACAATTCTTAATAACCCAAGCAGGTATAAATCATAAAAGGCCACTAGAAAGGCAGTTTTAAAAAAAGTAGGAAATCGCATATTTAAGCAAACTACTTTTGGGCACTGTGAAATGGCCCTTGCTCAAGTACTAATGTGGATGAACCTCCCTCCCCTCGCCTCCGCTTAGATTTAGGCAGTCTTTGTAAGAATTTAATAGAAACAGTTCCATTTCCAACCTCCCCATCTACCCCCACTATATGAAAGAAAAAATAAACCTTGCATTTTGATTACCTTTCTAAAATAAGTAACTGACCTAATTAGAAGTTTATCACAAAAAATCAGACCAGTGTAAATAACAAATATTTATTGGTGTCACTTATGGTAGAAAAAAGTTCCTACACCAGATGCACATGACCCAATTGTTAAATAGAACATTTCCAAGGTGAACACACTCCCAACCCATCATTTTTTTACCCAGTGTTTGCCAATTCTTCTCCCTCCCACCCCAAGACACGTGAGCCACTGCTAATGAAAAGCAGTAAACAGCCATTTAGGCTATAGCATTTTCAACTCCACTCAGAGGTGAAGATTCCAATTACATTCAGAGACTTAAGTTCTCTCAATTTTCTCTTAACGAAAGTTCCTGAGTCCAGTATTTACAATATTACAGCATTAGCAGAGCAGTGTCTACAACTCATCTTTGTCTGCTGTTTCATCTTCACCAGTTGGGGGAGGGCCGGCACTTCCATAGAGTTTGCTAATAATGGGCTGGACAATTTCTTCTAGTTCCTTCTTTTTAGCTTTGAAGTCTTCAATGTCAGCATCTTGGTGACTTTCCAGCCATTCAATCTTTTCCTCTACAGCTTTTTCCATGGTTTCCTTATCTTCAGAGGAAAGTTTACCTCCTAGCTTTTCTTTATCTCCAATCTGATTCTTTAGAGAATAGGCATAACTTTCCAATTCATTCCTAGTATCAATTCGCTCCTTGAGCTTTTTGTCTTCCTCAGCAAACTTCTCAGCATCATTAACCATCCTTTCGATTTCTTCAGGTGTCAGACGATTCTGGTCATTAGTAATTGTGATCTTATTTTTGTTCCCTGTACCCTTGTCTTCAGCTGTCACTCGAAGAATACCATTCACATCTATCTCAAAAGTGACTTCAATCTGTGGGACCCCCCGGGGAGCAGGTGGAATTCCAGTCAGATCAAATATACCCAGAAGATGATTGTCTTTTGTCAGTGGTCGTTCACCTAGAAGTTAGAAAAACTTGTTAGTTATTGACAAACATTAAAAAAAACCTCACTGCCGTGGAGTTGGATCCAACTCAAAGTGACCCCTCCTTGGGATTCCAAGGCAGTATCACTACGTGGCTGGTGGGTTTGAACCGCCAGATTTCTGCTTAGCAGTCAAATGCCTTAGGCACTATGCCACCAGAGCTCCTTGGTAAACATTAGTAGAAATGAATCCATACAGTCTGTAGTAGCAAGGACACTCAAGCTCAAAGTGGCTCAGTGTTGTTAGTCTACAAGCAGCAGCCACTGGGACTTAACTGAATTTCATCTACTTCACAGCATTCTCACTCTTATATTCTATGAGCCAGCTCAAGTTACTTTTAATGGGAATCATTTTAGTGCTGACTACAAAACCTCATACACTATTCAAAGGAAGGACCCTCACCTAAAATTAGCAGATACTTCCCTATTCATTTCAGTACAGTGTATTAAAGAACAGTTGTTCTCTAAAGCATACTATAGTATTAACAAATGTAAGCAATTACCTTCATAGACCTTGATTGTAACAGTTGGTTGATTATCAGAAGCTGTAGAAAAGATCTGAGACTTCTTGGTGGGCACCACAGTGTTTCTTGGAATCAGTTTGGTCATGACACCTCCCACAGTTTCAATGCCAAGTGTAAGGGGACATACATCAAGCAGCACCAGATCACCTGCAAAGGTGAGTTAGCAGAGAGAAGCTGTAATTCAAGAGTCAAAGGAGCCATTACACGGAATGACATTACCCAATCACAAAAGGGTATTAGGAGACCACTATTGTAAAAAGACAGTTTCACAAAAGAAATATTGTTTGATAGTTACCAGGGCCAGTTGGCAAAGTAAAGGAAAACCACTAAAGGGTAGACACATAATAACCCGGGTAAAAGGAGTCGATTCTGACTCATAGCAACCAACCCCTCCTTGGGTTTCCAAGGCACTATCTCTACAGAAGTAGACTGCCCAACTTTCCTTCTGAGAAGTGGCTGGGGGGTTTGAACCACCAGCTTTCTAGTCAGCAGTCAAATGCCTTAGGCACTATGGTCCAGAGCTCCCTTTACACACACACATACAGATGTATGTATGTATGTATGTATGTATGTATGTATGTATGTATGTGTGTACGCATGTCAGAGGAGCACTACTCAACAACCTCTCAGTGAACTGTAAAACTATGCCTTCTTCTTGCCATTCATCAGTTTGTAAGTTAGAGGCAGTGTATCATACATAGTTGCTACGGCTTCCCAAGGCTGCCACAAATCTTTACTAGCTGTGTGACCTCTGCCACGCTGCACACGTCTCTCGTTACTGAAGCACTGTGGAAGATGCTGTAGCACTGCCTTACCTGTATCCTGATCACCAGAGAGTACTCCAGCCTGGACAGCAGCACCATACGCTACAGCCTCATCGGGGTTTATGCCACGGGATGGCTCCTTGCCATTGAAGAACTCTTTAACAAGTTGTTGAATTTTCGGGATTCGAGTAGACCCACCAACAAGAACAATTTCATCGATATCAGACTTCTTCAAATCAGAATCCTCCAATACTTTCTGGACAGGCTTCATGGTAGAACGGAACAGATCCTAGAAAGAGACATGCTTATTGTGATACCTATGATACCTAGATGTACTACTCTAAATTCAAAGAGTGTAACTAAATCTCATCAACAAAGCAAAAAAACAAGAACTTACCATGTTTAGCTCCTCAAACTTGGCCCGAGTCAGAGTTTCAGAGAAATCTTCTCCTTCATAAAAGGACTCAATTTCAATTCTTGCCTGATGTTGAGAAGACAGGGCCCGTTTGGCCTTTTCTACCTCACGCCTGAGTTTCTGCACAGCTCTGTTGTCTTTCCTGACATCTTTGCCAGTCTTCTTTTTATACAGCTTGATGAAGTGTTCCATGACACGCTGATCAAAGTCTTCTCCACCCAGATGAGTATCTCCATTAGTGGCCACGACTTCAAAGACACCATTGTCAATGGTGAGAAGAGACACATCGAAGGTTCCACCACCCAAATCAAACACCAGGATGTTCTTCTCACCCTCCCTCTTATCCAGGCCATAAGCAATAGCAGCTGCTGTACTGTTAGGTGGATGGAAAGTGGGAAAAAATGGTTAGTCGAGTTTACATTTCCTCTATTTGGTAAATAAGCCATATCCATAAATTTAATACTTACGGCTCATTGATGATCCTCATAACATTCAGGCCAGCAATAGTTCCAGCATCTTTGGTTGCTTGGCGCTGGGCATCATTGAAATAGGCTGGTACAGTAACAACTGCATGGGTAACCTAAGAGGGTAACAAAAAGTTATTAAGTTTATCTTGTCACATAATGGTTTAACCCTTAGTTAAAATATGATCAAACACTTTAATCACTAATCCAGTTTACGTCTAAGATGGGTATAAAATAGTATATAGTATACTCATTTTAAAAATAAACTGGCTTATTTATAAACACGTAATTCCAAGTACTAATAACACATGAAAATATCTGGTATATAACAAAGCACTCAATGAAACTTGATGTCATTCAGAAATTATTAAAGCTACGAGGGCATATATACTAACAGTCAACCAAAGGAAAAAAGAAATCCTACATCGCTGAAGACATACTTACCTTCTTTCCCAAATAAGCCTCAGCAGTTTCCTTCATTTTAGAGAGAACCATGGCAGAAATTTCTTCAGGAGCAAATGTCTTTGTTT